TGTGGGACTCGATCCCAGGACGCTGGGATCATGACCTGAGCTGAAGGCAGCTGCTTAACCAACTGAGCCACCCAGGCGTCCCCTGTCATATTTTTAATATAAATTAGAGAAGGGATGAACTTGAACACTTAGGCAGACAAAATTGTGCAAAATCGAAGAGAACTTTTGAGAATATACCAAGATAAATTTGTTTTCATTCAATTAAATGTTTTGATATTTCACATACCTACTCCCAGTGCACCTTTATAAAAGAAAGCAAGGTTGATAACCCATCTCAACTGCAATTTGATTCCTCTGTCAAAGCTTTTTAAAAAAAAATAGAAGAACTTTCACAGTGGTGAAATAGAATTTCAAATGTCAAGTTGGATTTGGACACTATATGCTCCATTACTGGAACCTCTCAACAATATTCCGGACTTGACTATTTATTAAGAAAACTCAGGATTCCATATACAGGTCATTTCCCTGCAAGTTATCACTACACTAATATCCCCTCTTGCTCCAAAATACCTTTCAATGTGTGTGTGTGTGTGTGTGTGTGTGTGTGTGTGTGTGTATGTGCGCGCGTGCACATATGTGAATGTGAATGTTAATATATTATTTTTTTAAAATTCCAGTCAAGGTGGCGCCTGGGTGGCTCAGTGGGTTAAGCCTCTGCCTTCGGCTCAGGTCATGATCTCCAGGTCCTGGGATGGAGCCCCACATTGGGCTCTCTGCTCAGCAGGGAGCCTGCTTCCTCCTTTCTCTCTCTCTGCCTACCTTTCTGCCTACTTGTGATCTCTATCGAATAAATAAAATCTTTGGAGAAAAAAAAAATTAAAGTCAATCCTAATGGATCCTTAATTTACTCTTCATAATGATGCTAAATTAAGTTAAAATGAAAGGATGTTGTCTGGTCTTGACTCTTTCAATGTGTTGCTATTTTATTCCCCAACACATTAATCTTACTGAAATTAGCTTCCCACATAGGGGCAAATATTTGGAGCCAGATTACCTTAAAAATTGTAAAATTTATAAAGTATATAAAGACTGTGAAAATAATTTGTGAAATATTTCATAAGAATACAAATTCCAAAATAATAGAATAGGTTCGAAACTAGAACATAATAAGAAAACTTTTGTCTGCCTTGATATTTATAGTTAGAGAACATCTAGCCTGATATTACTAATACTAATAAATAATGGGATCATTCAGTTGATTATTCTTTTTGGAATGGCATGAGCCAGACTATAAAAGAGAATAAGCATCTCTAAGGACCTTCAGATATGAGTATGAGATATGAGAAGAAGATAACAAGCCCAGAAATCCTCTGATATACAGAAAAATACTAAGAATTGGGAAAATTTTAAATGAAAAAATTGTATGTATCCAACCCCAAATTATTTAAAAAGCGGTCATCTAAAGAGTTTATAAAGAGCCTCATTCACTTCATGAAGCAAAAATAGAAATGATGGCAGAAATTTTATGAAAAAGCACATTTTAGTCAATTTAAAGAAATAAAATTCTAACAGCAATATTTTACTTTGGGAGTTAATATGTTTATTATCCCCCAAATCAGATGAAGTTGATGGAGTTGGCTTTCACTGACTTTGTGCTCCTGGTGAGATGCTGGACTTGGATAAATACTAAGTTTCCTTCCATTTCTAGGGTTTCTTTTTTAAGTATTGATTCCATAAAAAGGCTTAAAAATGAATCTCTGTAGTTCCCTCTCATTTTCAAGTAAAATACATATCAGGCTACATGATACTTAATTATCACTGATACTTTATGTGTGTGTACGTATATCCTATTTCTGGGGCATTAAGGTTATAGACCAGAATATGTAATCTACGTTTATGGATATAGATAGGGCTAGATTATATATTCTGGTCTGGAACCAGCATACATATGTATAGATAGATAATGCCAGAAAAATAGAATTAATTTTTTGTGATAAAATTTTTTTGACTTCTGGATACATAAAGAATGATTTTAAAAAACATAAAATATTTCAAAAAACTCAGAAAAAATAAAAGTGGCTCATTATTCTACTTCCCAGAGAGAATCGCTATTAATATATTGGTTAATATATTGGTTATATATTGGTTAATATTCTTTTCCTTCCTCTCTCTGTTTATATATACTAGTAAAAATATATTACTCTGTCTTTTCATACACATGGAGTAATACCATTAATACTAAAACTTGGTTTTTTTTAAAGTATTTCTTGCCTCTACTTCCATGTAGATTGATCTTACTCTTTTTAGTGACTCTGTTGTATTCTAGTCAATGAACCTAAGTTTATTTAGCTGATATCCTAGTTGATGGATAATGGGGTTGTTTTCAGATCTTTGCTATACTAAACCACGCTGCATAATATTTATAACAATGTAATCTTCACTACAAAGAGTAATAAAGTATTTACAAGGTGCCAAATACTTTGTTACACACTTTATAGACACAATTTCATTTAATTATCAAAGTATAGTGGTATCTAAACATCTAAACATGGTATGTAACTTGCCCAAGCTCATATACTTCGAAAGTGATGAAGCAGTGATTACAACTCAGGTCTGTATGATTCTAGAACTAAAGCTCAACATTCCCTCAGAAAATACTTTTGTAAATAAATTTTTATGTTAGTGCATGCATGGTACATTTATCAACACAAAAGTGCTGAGCCAAAGGTTATGCAATATTTGAACTTAAACATGGATTTTCAAAAAGTTGAACCAATTAGCACTCCCTATTGCAGAAAACCAACACTACTTTCTCCATATTCTTGCCAGTATTGCGTAGTATCATCTTTTCCCCCCAATATGATAGGCAAAATAATCACATCTTAGTGCTGTTTCAATTTTCATTTTTTCAACAATTCACTGTTTTGGTAATAAAATGTATATATTTAAATAACATTGTTGTCATCAGCTATTGCTTTATAACTATATACCTATCCTTTCTGGTTTGGGGAAATTGGAGAAACGGCATTTAACATTCTCAAGAAAGTGTTTTTTTTTTTTCCTTTTTTCAGTTAGAACTTGTTCATTTTCTCTATTGTCATATATATCTAAACTCCTTGTTTTGTTTATATCCTTAATGCCTTTGGAATTCCTTTCTGTGTTGAATACAACCAGGTGCCATGCTACCAGCACATTCCCATCATTCCATTCAACCATCAGCCAAGGTCACAGGACTTGGCAGGATAACTGACAAGAGAAGAATGGGAATATACCATTTAAAGTTGACTTTTTCTTGTAAAAATGATGGCAGTTATGGGAAGAGGGAAGAAAGATTTTTTTTTTAAGTAACATGATAAAAATAAATACATATACACATACATACATACATACATTTAAAAGAGAGCAGAGAGCTCAAGGGAAAAACTAAGAAAACAGCATTAAAAGAACAGCTGTTCAAAATGATTTACTTCAATAAAATTTTTAAAAATTCTTCAGAAAATAAAGTGATTGAAGAATTGGAGGTTAAGAATTTTTAGAAATTAAGAAAGCAATTCACCATTTACAGTTTTTTCAAAAGTCCCTCTGTATACTCCAACAAAAGCATATCACATTCCAGAAAAATGCACCAGAGTCAACATCTAGGAACCAGACAGGGTTAACATTTTATTCTATGTGGAAAAGACAGGGCACTCAGCTACATCTTAGGGCATGAAGATCAAGTTGCACACAAAAGTATTTGGTTTCTGCAATATGTTCAAAGATGCAGCCATTCGCTTTGCTTAGCATTCTGAGGATGACATGTCAGTGTTAGTAACAATAAATGTGATCATGTTATAGAATTATCATCAATAAAAACAAAATTGCCATAAACAGTATCCTTACACTTAGAACCAGTTAGCAAGCACCTGTTATCATTCTTAATTATTCTCATTTTCTTAGTGGAGAATAGATAAAAATTTAATGTCTATCAGGTTAAGTTCTCGTTCCTAAAGTTAAATATTTTTTTTCTATAATAGCCGTTAACGAATGTATATTTGACATTTTATAAATTTTTTTTCTTTTGCATGAGCAGACCTATTGGTGTTTTCACCTTGTTCAAGCAAAAATGGAAAAGAACGCTAGGTAATTACACCATAGAACTACTTTTTTCTTTTTCTGGGTCTTTTCTGGAAGAATTCATCTTATTAGAAAATACTCACTACAATGTATTTTTTTCTTCAGTTATATAAATAGGAAATGGGAACGATTAAATGATTGGATATGTGGC